GCGCGGCGCGATGAACCGACTCGGCCAAAAGCAACCGGAATTATTAACTCCTGTCAGTCTAGGTAGTTCGATGCAGCAACGAGCACTTGACTGCTTCTTCTTGACTTGTTAAAACAATCAAGTTGTGTTAACACACAAAGAAGATATCGATCAATTTCGCGCAGATCAATCGCGAGAAACGAACCATATTTCATTTGAACCAGAAAATTATTCCCCTGGTCGGTATAACAAGCTCTATATCTTTAATGATATGTAAAATGAACTTTGCTGACGTGTTGAATTCTATTTAGTGAATTATAATTAGGTTTCATATTCGTACTTAACTTAATATTTCATATTTGACGTTTATTCATGTAGTGAATTGTAATTCATCTGATGATATGACATATGCTCAAGTAAATGTTCAAGAGTAGATTATGTTAAAGTGTCTGCAGGAATTTGAAGCAAAGTTCTTTTTTCGCAAGACTTGCGAGTGCGTTTCGAAAGGGAATAGAAAATATGGAGGAAGTGGAAGAAATCGAGGAGAATACCAACTCGTGTTCGACGTCCACGTTGTCCTCAGCGACGGTGCGTGGCAAGAAACACTGCACGGAAATGCGGTCGGAGAAACCTGCGTACCTTCGGCAGAAAGGTACAGCGAAAAGAATCTATCAGTTGTATCCAGGCAGTTCAAATTATTTTCAATTAGTTCAAGTTGTTCCGAATTGTCTTGAACTACTTTATTATGTCTTTTCGTTTGTTATTAAATTGTTGTTTGTGAATATAAATTAGATTGTCAATTAAATTGAAATAAAATTGTTTGTTATAGTGATACATTTATTATATTATAAATTTTATATCGACTTACACCGTCAATGTATAATTATATTGTAACTGTTGAAAAACGAAAGAAGTTAGAAAATTGCTGTAGATTATTCACACATTTAATTTGTCACGTTCTCAATTTTTGTTTCTGGTAGTACAGTTCGCCGTAATTATTACAACTCTGACAGTTTCCAAATCCAATTTCACTCACTTGATTGATTAACCATGGAACCATATATCATCGTCTACAAACTTTCATAACTGCACGTGTATTAATTAACATAAGAAACACATATTTCGTACACGAGTAATCTTAATCTTATTATTCGACGCTTAAAACTTGTTACGATCTTCAAATTTTTATATCGCAATTTTACTTTTCGCTTAACGAGCACAAAGATTTTTAACGTTTTTAGGAAACCTTGATATATACAAGAAACGGGAAATCGTGCGTATGAACAGTTTTTCCATATTTAAGAAATTTGTTGAGAATAAAATAAAACACGACGGGATCGGAAATGATCCAAAGAAAACGATAGGATGAAACAACTGATTTTACTGAAAATTGTACTCTTAAAATTTAAAAATACAAATTTCTTATAAACGAGTCATACTTTATTTGATGAGAAATTAATTTTCTGTGACTTTTTCTGTAATACAGTATAATATCTTCGAAATATCCATTATTCAAACGTTCTGTAAAAATTAATTGAACATTAATTGGACAATCGGATTTCATACTTTGCACGTAATTCGTACATTATTTATTCCCTTTTATTAAAGTCATTGAAAGTATTAGATTGATATAACATAAAATATCATTCTTCAAATATAACTTTGATCGTACGTAGCTTCTTCAGCATATCACACAATTGAAGTAATTATTTATATATATTTCTCATCAAATTATCAATTTCAGAACAAAAAATTTCTTGGAACGAAACTGTTACATTATCATCTGCAACCTCTTTTAATTTAATTTTGACCTTCTTCAAACGCCAATATGTTTCGCTGGCAATTTCCAAAACACTTCTAAATATAAACTTGTGTAAGAAAATCACAGAAACATTCTAATCGTTCGTTACAATTAACACTAACGTTTTAGAAATCTAGCACCGAAAATATTTACAGCAAATTTCTTCTTTTTCAGTGTGATTGATAATTGACGATTAATAAATTCAAGTCTCGAGAAGAAATAATATTTTATATGCACCATTTTATATGCGCAAATAATTGTCAAAACAAGATTTTTTCACGATGTTACATCCAAAGTGACATCACAATAATGTAATGACGTACTTTATTATTACCAGTTGAAATAAGATGTGAAAGTATTAAATTGAATGATAAATTTAGTATTAGCAGAACTGTTGTTTGTTCGATTATTAATTTTGACAACCGAGGTTCTATCGTATTCCAAAAATTAAAAACCAGAAACACAGCTTTAATGGAAGAAGAACAGGTAAAAGGGAACGTTGCAGAACACTGCGAAGCTTGACAACGAATGAATTAAATTTCACCTTCTGCGAGCCAATTCGTCGATTGTTCGCCAAGAATCGTCAAGTGTTAGCCGACGGATTAGATCGATGGATCACGAGGGGGGGCAAATTAAACCGCATTATATCGGTTGGCGTAATCGACAAATGCAGATGCCTGTTCCGACGCGAATTCGTAATTCGATAGACTCGATTACACGCGAGCACGCGATTCTGGAAAGTGTTTCGAGATGTAGTACACATACTAAAGAACAGCCTTCCCGTCATTCGTTAATCTGTGAAGCGAAGAACCATATGCTAATATATGTTTAGAAATATCATAAAGAATATTATAAGACAAGGCTACAAATCTTTATGCAAATTCATATTTTTGAAAATACATTGTACATGTTGTTTTCTTATTACATTACATATGTATGTATATAAATGTTCTATGCATTGCATAATACAATTATTTATTATATATATATATATATTATATATTATATAGATACTATTTTATTATTATGTACATTACATTATATATGTGTATTAGATATTATTATACATATATATTATCTATATATTATACATATATATACACAATATTACACAATCTAGTATAATTATAAAAATGAAATTCGTGTGATTGTGTCTGCTATCTGTATTAACACACGGAGGAAAGTTTGCAGACAAATGTACGTGTATAGTTCAGCTAATCAATCAAGTCATAGTTTTAATTATTCTTACCTGGATTAGAATTATCTAACTTCGTAACTTGCTTCATCAAAGTTGAAAGGAAAGTTCACATATGTGTATACCTATATGTGAGCGCAGTTCAAACTTAGAAAATCCATTTGTTCGAAGAAAACGATGTTTCGAGTAACGAAGATCGCAGACAGGCACCGAGACTATTATTAGGGAAAGACAAGTTCGTAGCAGGGAATGAGTTAAAAAGATTTCGATTTACACGTTTGTCCGTATATTTTTTTTGAAGTTTGCGTGTCAGACAAAACGATTTGTAATATGCATGTTCATGGCACATACATAGTGTAGAAAGGATAACAGTGAAATAAAAAGATAAATAAAAAAGGGAACGCGTTCGAGGTTGTACGATTATTTTACGTTGTTTGACGAGACAATATCATTCGCTTTTTCAATTTTCGTTCGCTCTAGATATAAAATTGCGGAAGCTAGTTTAGTACATCCAGTGGTTTGAATAATTGCATCAATTGTATTAAAGATTTACTCTTGTTAGTGATTCTAATTTTATGGTAAACTGTGCAGATTTGTTGTCAAATTTAACATGTAGTCCAACCGTATAGCAGCCAATTTTAACTGTACTTTTTAATTGCTAAATGCTATGAATTTAATATAAATGCCCAATTGTTTAATTGCAATCGTATTGATGATTAATGTCTGATATCTGCAGATATAAATATAAATAAAAGATTCTAGCTTATTCTTAACGCACTCTTCAATTGCACGAAATGTCTATGTCAATACCGATTACATCTCAAGAGCCATAATCTAACATTCACAAACTTGTATTTTCGCTATACATTTCGTTTTGAACCGCAAAAATATAATATAAATAAAAAATTCTATCTACTACTAAGTAACACTAGAACTACCAAAGTAGTCAAAATGATCAGTTTGATAATTTTCCATAGAAATTTTATATGCTTGTAATCGAAGAGCAATCGAGAAATTAAGAAATATTACCTTTAGCCTTTTATTCTCATACATACTATTCAAGTATATTCGTGCTAATGTTCACATCAACACCAATTTATATTTCTCAAGTATCACGATCTGATATCGAGCACACTCAACAGAAGCTGCACTTCCGGTACACGTGTCTCGAACTTCATCTTATTGTTAGAACACAGGATTGAGTTGCTCGCGTGGCTCGTGACACATAATGCACATGACAGAGCGACAGGCAGACGTTATTGGGGCATGTCTATCGTTTATTCTGGCGAGTAAAGTGTCTTTGAACATCCGAATTGACGCGTTTCGTGCGGCCAAAAGTTTCACGGACTCGTCGCGATATCAGGCTGGGATCGGCGTATATAAAGGGACCTGGAATTCGGCACGAATCCCAATTGATATTCGATTGCTTGGTGCGCCGACTGTGCCAGTGTGCATTGGGTGACAATTGCCACAAATTTGTCTTTCACCCCTTTGCTTACTTGACTTGAGCTAGAACTACCTACAGTGACCGAGATGACCAGTTTATAATTCTTCGTACAAATATTACAACACTACTAGAAATAAGACCTCTCGAACAAATTATTTCTTCGCTGTTAAAGTTCCTTATCAAAATTTCAAATACACGGCTCTGCAAACTGTGTATTTTTGCGGGTTTAAATGATTCTTGGTGAAATATTCAGGGCAAAGTTTCTTTCTGCACGTGCAGTGATCAAATTATTAAATGTTAGTCGGTCTAAAATTTTAACTTGATTGACCTGGAAGAATGATATGAATTATATTTTGATATATTTATTCCATTTTGATTTCCCTTTCATTTTGGTATAAATAAAATAAAATTATCATTGGTAGTTCTAGCACTAAATTCCTTTCGCTCCTTACAATTTAATCTTCTACTTATTAGTGGAATCAATTTTTCTTTCCTATATTGTGTAGAGTTTTTTATCGTGCACTTCGTAGATGATTCGAGTGTGATTCGCTGATGTGTTGTATTGAAGTTTAAGAAAGATGTTGCTGTCTGCTAGATCAGCCAGGTGTGCGGCTCTGATGGGAGAGCCTGACGAACTGTACCCAGGTGGAGAACTCGAGGGATTATTGTGAATGGAGGAGAAAGAAGGATCATGTTGAGGATCATGTTTTGTGTCTTTTCTGTTACAGAGAAGATCATTTATCCGAGAAATACTAGGACGCTTGCCAAGACGATTGTGATCGGTGGAAAACCTATCGATGAAGAGACTTGCATGGTAATTTGTCGATCGAAATATTAATTGAAATAGAAAAAAATTTCTTAAGATACTCTTGAATGATAAACAACTTTTTATAAGTTCTTTAAATTTAATTAATTTTTCTAATTTTATTATTTTTCTAAATTGTATTAATTTTAGAAAACAAGATTCATTTAAGTGCAATTAATTATTAATTTAATAATTTCAGGAATTTGTATTTGACAGCCTGAGACTTTGTCAGAAGAAGATTCTTTGTTCTTTTATATATAATTTCAAGCTAAAGCCTCTTTTTTTAGCAAAAAGGATATATTCTTATATGATTAATTTCTTGATTATTTTGATAATTTTGAAGATCATATCTTATTTTTATTTCGTAATATTTTTTTCTCGATGTGCTTTAGGCTCTGAGAAAGTTGGTTTTCGGAAGTAGTGCTAGTCCACCGAGACAAGAATGGGCAAGAACCGGATTCACCCTACGACCTTACGGACAAAGCTTGGCATTTGGATTACGAGCACCGAGAAATACGACTAGGGGCCTCGTCACCGCAGTGCAAGCTATAATGCTCAAGCATTTCCTGTTTAAATGTAATAGACAAGACACTCATGCAAATCCAGAAAGGTAAAACCTGTTCAACATGTACGTAAACCAAAAATTCTAGTTTTAAAACACATAAAACATATTCCCTGAAAAAACATTTTCAACTTTTAAGTGATAAAAATATATATAGGACATACGGTTGGAATTGCATGGAGAATTTTGATTCTTGGAATTGTACATTAATTTGACTTTAAGTTCACCAGGTTTCTGAGTTTTTCTTTCGCTATAATTTTGCATAAAGACGATCTTATTCAACTTCAATTATTTATCAATTCATTTATATTTTTGCTTCTTGAAAAATTGCATATTGAAAATGTTTTTTATATTTCGACTTCCCAGTATTCGTTTTGTTCCGAGTTTGCACAAAAAATTTTATTTTATTTCTTTGCAAGTATTTTCCTATGCGTGTATTTATCTATTTGTAATTACTTCCAGAGTTCTAAATGAAGAATGTTTCAAATAATTATATTTCTGTTAAAATTAGTCTGTTGAAGCCATCATACGACAGACAGATCGACGTTTTGACATCGACGATAGCAGAGATCATTTGGCGTTGCGCCGGTGGATTCGTCGTACAAAGTACTGGTTATTCGTCAAATCAAAGTGTTACAGGAAACGCGAAACCGACAGCTGTGGTAGTTTTGCCTCAAGAAACATCCTATGTGCAGCATAGCGTGCATTACTTCCAAGATGGTCTTACAGAAACTGTACGTAAATACCACGATAAAAGTAAATGGAAAATGAAAATTCTGTGCTATAATTCTTTGTAGTTGAATCGCAATGAAATAAATACCACGAGTATTATTTATGAATTTTTACGATGGTTCATACATTTTAAAATTCTTTGTTTACAGCTGCATTTGTTCGAGTTCGATTCTCTGGAGGACTTGGAAATATTTATTAAAAGATATTTATACTTGGTAAGCTTAGAGAAATGTTCTAGTATTAATGCATATAAATCTTCGTTCTTTATAATATAAATATTTTATTTGATTATTCTAGTTTCAAGACGAGGGTGGCCCTGGTGCCACGTTATTATTGTACAGCGCTATACTTTCCAGAGGAATTTCTAAGTAAACATTTATTTATTTATTATTTATTACTTACTATTATTTAAGATAAACTGTCTATTATGTT